ATCTGCTCAGGTCCCTTCCGATCCTACCAACTATGAAACTGTACAAGAAGATGAAAAGTGGCATCCTGAAGTCTGCATTATGTCAATTTTTTTCATCAATATATTGGCTTATGATGCTCACACTTGGAAAATCTCTTGAGTGGCACTGATGAGCCCCAGCCCCAAAGGGGTGATACTCTTCTTGTTTTATTTTTATTTGAGGTGGATCTTTTGATACTTCTAGATGAATATATGCAAATTATGCAAGCTGTTTCTATGTGGCAGATGGATTTAGAGTAATTTTTTTTTTTAATTGTCAACACACATCTCAGTGAAGATGACAGTGTGGTATTCCAGGAAAGCAAAATTTCAACTGAATTTTGGCTATTATTTTTGTACTCTTCGTTGTCAACAGTCTCTCAATTTGAGGATGATCTCTATCACAGCTCATTGATGGTATTGAGGTGACTTGAGAATCCAATCTTTGAACCACAGATCTGTCTACAGAAGTTGCAGGTGTTTTTGCAGGGGAGTGTAGGCTGTAGGCTCAGATTTCTCTCCTTTTCCTTTCTCTGTTCATCCTCCTCTCTCTTCTCTGCTTTGAGGGCAAGACTTTTTACCTTGAAGGAGGAAGCCGCTTGGTTCAGGTTGCATCAGCATTGGAACTGGTTAGCAGCCAGCTCCTCCCAGCTCCTTTATATCATCATCCATTTTCTTGAGATATGATTTCAATAGTTTCATAGTTGGTAGGATCGGAAGGGATCTGAGCAGATCATCAAGTCCAACCCCCCCGCCATGGCAGGAAAGAGTACTGGGGTCAAACGACCCCGGCGAGGTGTTCATCCAGCCTCCTCTTAAAGACCCCCAGGGTAGGAGCCAGCACCACTTCTCTTGGAAGTTGGTTCCAGATCCTAGCCGCCCTGACAGTGAAGTAGCGCCTCCTGATGTCTAGCTTAAATCTACCCTCTGCTGTCTTGTGACTGTTATTTTTTGTCACTCCTGGTAGTGCTTGGGGGAACAGGGACTCCCCCAGTGCTTGCTGGTCTCCCCTGACCAGTTTGTAAATGGCCACTAGATCCCCCCTCAGCCTTCTCTTGTGGAGGCTGAACAGGTTCAGGTCCCTTACCTTTCCTCATAGGGCCTGCCTTGCTGACTGCTGATCAGGAGGGATGGCCCTCCTCTGGACCCTCTCCATGTTGTGCACATCCCTCCTGAAGCGTGGTGCCTAGAAGTGTGGATGCAGTACTCCAACTGCGGCCTGACCAGTGTCGCATAGAGGGGGAGGATCATCTCCTTGGACCTGCTTGAGATGCATCTGTGGATGCATGACAAGGCCTTCCTGACTGCATCCCCACACTGTTGGCCCATGTTCATTTTGGCATCAATAATGACTCCAAGATCCTTTTCTGCCTCTGTGCTGATGAGAAAGGAGTTCCCAAGCCTGTAGGTCTGCTGCTGGTTCTTCCTCCCCAGGTGCAATACCTTGCACTTGTCAGTGTTGAAACCCATTCTGTCCTCATCTGCCCACCCCTGTAACCTGTCTAGGTCCGATTGCAGCCTATTCCTCCCTTCTAGCATGCCCACTTCTCCCCACATCTTAGTGTCATCTGCGAATTTGAACAGGGTGCTTTTCACCCCCTTGGCCAAGTCGCTGATGAAGATGTTGAACAGTGCGGCCCGAGGACTGAGCCCTGCGGAACCCACAGCCCAAATCCCTCCAGGTCAAAAATGACCCATCCACCACCACTCTCTGGGTGTAGCCCTCCAGCCAACTAGTGCCCTGTTTGACTGTTTAGGTGTTGATGCCACAGTCCCCTAGTTTT